AAAATAAATTAAATTAAATTAAATTAAATTAAATATTTATAGAATCATCTTGTGGTGTGAATTCTTTGTACCTACTTAAGATTTTCACATCTCAAGTAATACAGTACCAACCAGTATAGATGATACCCTCTAGCTAGATTTTGGCAAACTAAATGTGTGCTCTAACAGGTAAAATGATTTCCTAACAAGTAATATGTGTATTGCCTAATTCATTTTTTGCTAAAAACCTATACCTTGACCTTTATCAGCTTGCTCTCTTCAGAAGTTCCTTGGGAAGATCTTACCACTCAAAGAAATTTACAAATTAGTTTTTGTTCCACTGCTAATAAGGATCATTTCTATTTCTTAATAAAATATTTGGAAAAACTGTCATATCTCAATATGATTGACAAACAATTTGAGAAAGAAGAAAGCATACGTCAACTACTAAAATCTTTTCCTTACAAAATTCCAAATCTGTAAACCATTAACAGATATTCACCATGTCTCTTCTCCTTACAAATATATATTCCCAATTTTTTTTTCATTTCAGTCCTAATTAATAATGAAATGAGAATTGCAGAAATAACAGTAGATCTAGCTTTAAGGATGATTCACGCGCTTTAAAAATTTGAATAAATTTAATAAACTTAGAAAACAAAAGTAAAAAAGATATGGGACTCAGCATTCTAAGTTATGAACTTTTGTAACTTCTACTGAAAATATTTCCCACAAGACTATAAACTCTCTACAGTATGCTTAGTAGCTTATTCCTTTCTGCTGGTGGACATAGCAGAGGAAGCACTGTCAGTATCTCTTCCGACTGCCATCATGTTTAAGTCAGAGTCTCCCAAGGAGCTTGACAGCTACCGAAGCTCCTCATTGGAGGGCTGAGCTTTGAAACAGCTGATGAGAGAGTCCCCACTTTGAGCAATGGGGAACACTCACAAACTGCGTGTTAACGAGAGCCCCAAACACCAAGTGTTCCAGGGGCTTTGGGTTTGTCACTTATGCCACTGTGGAGGAGGTGGATGCAGCCATGAATGCAAGTCCACACAAAGTGGACGGAAGAGTTGTGGAACTAAAGAGAGCTGTCTCAAGAGGAGATCCTCAAAGACCAGGTGCCCACTTCATGATGAAGATCTTTGTTGGTGGCATGAAAGAAGATACTGAAGAACATCACCTATGAGAATATTTTGAACAATATGGAAAAATCGAAGTGATTGAAATTCTGACTGACCAAGGCAGTGGAAAGATGGGCTTTGCTTTTATAGCCTTTAATGATGATGATTCTGTGGATTCAAAAATACCACACTGTGAACAGCCACAACTGTGAAGTGAGGAAAGCCCTGTCGAAGCAGGAGATGGCTAGTGCTTCATCTTGCCAAAGAGATCGAAGTGGTTCTGGAAATTTTGGTGGTGGTTGTGGAGGTGGTTTTGGTGGCAATGACAGTTTTGATTACAGAGGAAACTTCAGTGGTTGAGATGGCTATGGTGGCTGCTATGGTAGGGTGGATATGGTGGCAGTGGAGATGGCTACAGTGGATTTAGTAATGATGGAAGCAATTATGGTGGTAGTAGAAGCTATAACGAATTTGACAATTACAATAGTCAGCTTTCAAATTTTGGACCCATGAAGGGAGGAAACTTTGGAGGCAGAAGCTCTGGGCCCT